GTATTACCCAATAATACCTGGGGCAACTACTGTCTTTCGTGTAGGATTTTGGATTGGGGTATAGGTTTTATTCTCTCATAGCCTAGAAACTAGTTCGGATTCGGTCACTCTAATGGGCAGCTTAGATTCAGATTACAAATATCGCAAAGTTAAATTTTTTTTATTCAGATTTAAGAGAGAGAGAGAAAGTACAAGAAACCTTTGTTTGGGCATCAACCCACCAAATATGTCTCCCTGACTCGCAGACTGAATGATTAATATGCATCAATCTGATTAAACAATGTGCATGCGCGCAATTAGCCAAGTTTAACAAAAACAAAAGAAAGGAGAAACTAAGAGCTTAGTGCCGATAAAGCTTATATGAAAACAATTTTGTCACACGGTGGGGCAGCAGCAAGTTTATGGACTTACAATACTACAAATCGGGGTTCGATTCCCCACGGTAGACACAAACAATAGTTAGACTTGTCTTACTCAAAGAACAAATCACACTTAACACATCGCTTGGATATTTTACTTGCTTAGAAAGTTCAAACTGAAACTTACTTTGGTTAAAAACAAAACAACACTAACGTAAGTGTACAACAGAGAAAGTAACGAGACGAACTCGTTTCTTTTTTGCGGAAAGTATTAATACTCTCATTATAAATCAAACGCGTTATGTGTAAATCAAACAATTAAAGTAAGCGTAATGTGTCTAGATATAGAAAAGGTGTTAGGCGCCAAAATTGTATTTATTTTATTTCAAGAAGTAAACGTTTGACGTGCATATAAGACGGGGGTAATTTCTAATATTATCATACTCTTAGTCACTTATAATAAATGTGTATTTAGATTTAGCTCAGAGACATAACAGTGTAGATTAGCAATGTTAAAAATCGTGTTTGACTTGTGTCTTAACTTGAGATATTTCAGTTTACAACGTAGGTAATTTTTAGTATGTTAATAACTTCAGTTACAATAAATCTAAATATAGATTTCGCTTAGGCATGACTGTAAATTAGTAATGTGCACACAGAGATAGGGTTAAACATTCAAAAAGTAACAATAATTGTATATATATATATATATATATATATTTGAATATGTTACTTATATATATATGTATATACATATATATATATATGCACACACACACACACACACATATACACACACACACACATACATATATATTTCTTCAAAATGTGTATGCTCAAAGATGACAAGGTATAAATAGACCCATTTGTATTCATATGTTTGACTATAAGTGAAGTAATTTATAAATCTCTAAATTATGTATAGTTTAGCAGTTTGCTGAAAACCCACACAAGTAAATTGTATAAAAGTTGGTAAACACTTCCCATAGGTTAGTTGCATTTATTGTATAATGATTAAAATAAGTTCCACAGAGAAGTTAAGTCATTGATTTATAATGATTGTTTTTAAAATTAAAGTGCAAAAGGCTACAATTACCTGCACAGCTATATGACTGACAAATTTGGTACATTCTCCAGCCTAAGATATGTTATACGTTTCACAGTTTAAAATATGCCTGTCATATTTACCAAATGTCAGATCATGTGTTTTTCAAAACTGAAAAAAAAAACTTTCAGACATACACATTCTTACTTGCAGATGACAAAATGAAAGTTTTTACATGTACAAACATTGGTTTTAAAACACTGTTTCAATTTTTCACCATTATTTTATTCTTTTAAAAATCAAGTATTAAAAGCTAAACTGACTAAAGTGATTAAAAGGCAACTCAATGTTTTTCAAAAATGAATTAAGTTAAAATATACAGGTATCCAACATTCATTTTATATATTACAATATATATATTACATTTTCACATAATGACAAATATAATTTGTGATAACAAAATCATTGTATGGTAAACTGTTTCTTTAAGTGCAATCCGGTTAGAAAGGTAACAACTTAATTAAAAAAATATTTAGTATACATTATACTGTCAAAGGTATCGTGCACCCCTTGAACTTGTAACACACCTACTAAACTTACACTGCAAGGAAACTTGGGGAGTATAAATGCTTACACACACACACACAGACTAGTTTGACCAACTTAATATATTAGTAGTACAAAAGTATGTGCAAGATACCAAAACATCACGTATTAGTTACGTGAGACCGCTCAATAGCATCATTGACATTATAAAACATTTATGATAGCCGAAAATATTGTCAGTGCATAACAAAGGTCTCTTTGTTACAGTTGCCGGAATATATCTTACAACTTTATAGTAAACAGAGCAACTCTTTGTGAACAGAGGCCATCTGTGAAGCCTGTACTATCAGCATGCTATCTGTGAATGTGTGGACTTTAGAAAAGTAAGAATAATCAAACCACCAACTCTGCAATCTTAAAAATTGGTTATGAATTTCATGGATTGGTAAGAGCCACTTAGTTACAAAGTGATGAATGAATACGTATGATTATTGGCAGTTATGTTAGATCAACTGTAACAATTTTGGTAATAGTATAGGTTGCATTGTGTGTGTTAAGAGTAGGTTTTACTTGTTTACACATGTAAATGACCATGGATAAAGATATTTTAAATTATGTTCCAGATGCTATGGTGGAGTTTTTGGTAAGCAGATCAAAGTGTTGTTCCAGAAAGATGTTTTTTTTGCCACAAAGTGTGTTTGCATCTATTATTTACATAAACAGTGTTTGATTTCTTTTGAAATAGAAACTCCTGTGCTTACTATTTATAAATGTGTCTCTTTACATTTACACTAAAATGAAAATTACACAACATAGCATACCTTAATTCAACTGCCATTCAAATAGTTGTGATTAATGTTGTTCATAATACCTATTAGAAAAACACTTTTAATTAACAACTTTCTGATGTTTTCCTGCTCTTTAAGCAACAAATCATGTGTACTTGTTAATTTACTTGAATACTCAATGAATTACTATTATCATCAGAATTTTTTGAAAGAAATGGTAACAAACAATAAAAATTAATAAACAAACCTGTGAAGGTTTTCATATGAAATCCTTAATATCTCACATTTAAAGTTATCATTTTTTCTTATGAATGAGGTTGTCAGTAAATCAGAATAAGGCTCACTTTGTTTTCTCTATGGTCAGAAATCACATCTGACCTAATTTATAGAATCATCATATGTAGATACATGGGATGAATAACTCCTGCCCACCAAGGCAAGTATGTAGGGTTTGGACATTCAACCCATACCTTTGAAGTTATGCATCAAATGCAGATAAGTTTCTTCAATTTGAAGTCATTGTTAAAACATTACACACACAGTTACAATACATAACCATAACACAATGTATCACAGGTTGTCCCATAGTTAAACCACCTACTTGGTCATACAAGTTTCTGTCACATCTAAAACAGGATTCATTTTTACAAAATTCATGAATCACTTGCTTACAAAATCATTATTTTCATTTTGATATAAAAGCTCTGCTCATATATAGGTTCTGTTAGTGCATGCGTGCATGCATATAAATAAATAAATAGCTTTAATACTTTCAGTTAAATTAATTGTCAATGGGCAATTAAATCAGCACTATAAAACAATAATGATAAAATAAACTTTACAATACAACTAAAACTAAACTTAAACAATAATTTTCCATTATCAGTCCTAGTTGTCAACATTAAGTCATAACAGACAATGTCTGTGGTCATAGCATCCAAATGCATTGGAAATATTCCACCTACAGACAAAATCCAGATGCTGGGAAAAATCTTGACAGCATAATTATTACTAGCTATTGGCTCCAAAAACTTGTTAGAGAACCAGAAATTATGATCATATATATCAATATTAGATATAATCGATTTAACCCAACAACCCTTCTTATGAACCTTAGGAATTACATATACAATCCCGGAATAAGAACAAGTTTTCTATATTAATTCCTTTACCTCACTTTTCTATATTTCGTTTTTTACTTTTATGTATTTCTTTTATGACTTAACACTTATCCTTACTTATATTTATGGATTCACTTCCAAAATTATAGTTGTTAAACAAAGCTAAACCAATACCATTTATCTGCATTCTTATGCTGTTGAAAAATTCATTGCTGCCCGGCCACATTTGTTTATATAACTTTTGCAACATCTCTTCAAAATTCAATGATCCTCAAATTTAAGTCTTTTTTCATTGGAATGATAAATTTTATGCTACAAGCTAATACAAATTTGTTTATGTTACTTAAAACATAATTAAATAGAATGAAGATTATATCATCAGGGTGATAAAATTCTCTTTTAAATTTTCTCAATTTTTTTCAACATTCTAGAATAATGTTATTAGTCTGTGTTTCAATAAAGTTAAATAAATGGATATAATCTTGTTTATTAACTTGATCTTTTAACAATGAATTTTTTTCTAGCTATCACCAAAATTTTCAAAATTTTCTTTTAATTGCAAATACTTCCTCAAATGATACTTCAAAATTTAAGTGCCATACTGGTAATTTTACATTGTTAAAAGAAATTAGGATCAGAAATTTTTATAATTCATGAAATGTAGACTTTTAGTTGTTATTTTTTTTATAAATAATGATAAAATAAATCTGTTATTATCTATTTATAATTACAGTAACAATATAATTATGTTTTGAACATCTAAGGAATTATAAATATTAGTATTAACAGAATAACATATCACATATTTTAATTTACAACTTAACTTCAGATACGAACAACTTTCCATTCAAAATAGAAATCTACTTTAATTACCTTTTCCCTCCTATTTCAATACTTAATATGTATAAAGATGCTCGTTTGTTAAAATCTGAATATTGAATTTAGTGCAAAGGTAGGGTAACAGATTGTTCCATCCTCAGTCTGCAAAAATAAAAAAAGACTCAAAATATCCAAAATATGGGTAAAAGAAATCCATATACCTAAGAAAAGGTTATTCTAAATTATTATTATTAATAATAATGTAATTACAATTTATATCATGAAGTTCTAAGTATACTATGATTTTAAGTATACATAAATACTTTAAATAATAATACTTACATTATACTTGAAGACACAGAACCTGTGGGTAGTTTTTGAACTATCTCAACAAAATAATAAAATAATAATAAATTCATAGTTAACGTAAAGAATATCATCAGGTTCCATATCTTGAGACCCTCACTCATAACAAAAAATGATAAGTTTGAATAAAAAATTTCATTAAAAAAAAATTCATGAGTTTATATTTTAATTTTGACGATTTTATATAAAGGTTTTGTTTAAGATAAACCTGGTGAAAATATTAATTCATTAAACATACAAAATAACCAGTAAAAAATTGGTATTATAATGCTTTGTTTCTTAACTAATATGCTTTTCCAATACATATTATAAACAAAATTAATCATGACCATTTAAGTAGTATAAACATTCCTGCACAACCAAATGCTATTAAACAGAAAAATGCTTTAGTATTTTATACAGGTAAGCTTGCAGTTTTAATCAGAAATCAACTAAGTAAGTTGTGCCATTTTGTATCTTCATATACATCAGTCATTTGCTGTACTATCTGTACTTCCTTCTCGTCAACTCTATAGCCGACCAGTAACATGTCATAGTAACTTATCTCAGATGTCAGGCTGCTCTAAATTTACACCTTTGGAACCACATAATGAGATTTCATTGGTCAGAAGACATTCTTAAGGAGATCAAGTACAATGTTACTTAAACACAGTTATATTGATGCTATCATTTCAACAAACACTCAATGAAATGTATTTACCTACATAACTGTAACAAATCTTGTGCCATTTGCTACCAGTGGTACATGGCATATTCTGACACTCCCCCATTTTTTTTTTTATTTAATCACAAAGAAATACCAGTTTTATAGAGAAAGGAGGCCGACGAGGAAAGAGCACCAAGATATGGCTTCCAGTCATACCTCCCATTCACCTGGATCATACCTTAAGCAGCTGAAGAATGAAATGGGTATTCTGTACATAAACATACAAGTCAAGATGTAGTGGCTATGGATTTCTATGTAATCTGATTGTTACAATGGGTGCTGGAAATTCTTTTCCTTGTAAGCTAGATGGATCATCAAAAGTACACAAGGGTGAGTGGTGCACTTTGGACATGTCAGCTTTATAGAGTGGAAACTATGCTGAAGAGCTATTGTCAAGATGTACAGTTGTCAGATAGAGAAGTGACTGGATATAGACACACCGACTGTAACGCCGTGGTGATGCTCCAAAATCGTTTTAATCTAACGTACTCAGCTTCTGTACTCTTTCTTTAAATGTAACTTTTATTAACATTACTAGTTAGAATGTTTAATATAACTAGTTTTGTTATTGTAAATTTATTATTATGTTTTATTAAAAAGATTAATAGCAACTAAATTTCCTAAGCTAGCCGAATCTCGTTAAATGATTACTGGGTCGAAAATATTGATAAAAGCTATGGTACCCAACTGAGAAAAAAATTCATTCTAATCTTTATAAGTAAGAATATTATTTCAACAATGTCCAGAGTTCCACTACACCCCGCCAGGAAAAACATTGGGGCGGGGGGGGGGGACGATAGCATGCGTGAGACTGCCGAGTTAAATACTTTTCTAATGCTTACCGGGAACGTTATCTCTCACTCCACCAGTTTCAGATGCTTCACTGCATATATAAACGTTAGATAGAATTAGATTCCCCTTCCCTGGAAGAAAGAACCGCTTACACTTGGCGTTATTTGGAACATTGCCAACAGAGGCGGAGTCTAAGCTTGTTGATAGACAAATTGCTCTCTGGTGGTACACGAGATAACGCAAATAGCTAAATACCGAGTACCTTGGGGAAAACGGGTGCGCCAACATCACCAGTGTTACCGCCGATCTTTCGTTACAACAATATAAATTCAACATATAAAAACTTAAATTAAAATACTTTACTATTAGAAAGCCAAGCACATCGACATTCTAAGCTCTACAGTCAATCCTAAACTAAAAGTATTTGTATTTATAGCAAAACCACTAGGGCTGTCGCTGTTCCTATTTTGAATTGCTGACCAGAAGAAAAAAACAAGTAGTCAGTCAGCAACAACCAACCACACACTATCCGCGTTATGGACCTGATTGTTAACTTATAACGCGCCCATAACTAAAATGAGGGAAATATTTTGTGGCATCTCCTCGATTTGAACCCAGCTTAGCTACTCCGAAATCCAGAGCTCTACCACAAAGCCAACCAGCACTCTGAACTAAAAGTGAACTTGAATTAGAAAGTCCACAGATACAAATGACAAGAGTGAGTTATATACTAAATTTGACATAATTCTATTTATAATACACAAATCAATAATGTAAATGACAAAACCACCCAAAAACTGACAACACACAAACATATTCGTATTCACTGACCAGCGAAAAAAACAATTCTGTTAAGGAACAGGTTTATGGTAAATTACAGCACAGAAATACTACTCTATACTTTTACGATACTTTAAAATGTGTATATCAAAACAAAAATTACATTATATATATTTTTTTTTGTACACATGTTAACCTTATAAAATCATTTTCCACTAAAAATCACTGCAGTATGGTACAGGGCTACCAAGGGTCTAAACTATCACATTTAAAGACTAGTGTAAAACATCACTTTAAAACATTTCTGATAAAATAACGGAAGAAAATACTTACGGTTTTATGCTCTCGTGTTGTTAGTGTTACACGTTTCGAAACAATTTGTAATATACCGATATTCATATGCTCGTAAAACTAGGATGTATCATTCCCTATGTTTAATATAACGATGTGCATGTACCAATAAATTGCAACTAAATACTTAAGTTACATACAATTTGGTAAAGCAGCACCTTTTCCCCATTGACTAATTCAAAATATTTTACAATTACATTCTTATGAAATCAGAAAACATAAGTAACTGTTAAGCTTTAAAGCAACTATATAATACAAATATGAACATGTAACTATATTTGCTATTTTTATCTTTACTTGTACAACAAATAAGCTACAGCTGTGGTCCCCACTTATTTTTCACACCTAACCACTTTAAGGTGATGACCATAAATTAACAGTTTACATAGTTATCACAGATGTTAGGCCTATCGGTTTCTACTGCTTCTCCAGCTTTTGGCGTTTAAATCGAAAGTTTTGCTTACTTTGGAAATATTTGATAATAGCGCCTGACCAAAAATCAGGCTTTCAATGGTTTGATGTTGACATGGGCTGCCTGTTCGGGACCACAGGCTTATACTATAACTTAAGTTGTTCAACACTTAAAACTAAGAACTGCATAGCGACTGTTGTTCCGAAAGACGTGAGCAGAAACAATTCGGATAAGAAGTTAATAATGGATAAATTAACACGTCTCAATGAAAATTATTTAGTTTTGTATTCATAACGTTTCGAGAAAACAGACGCTCTTCATCAGGCAGTAGTTTGAGTAATCACCGTGTTACAAAGAATTTGAAACTAGGCTAAGAAAAAAATCGTTGAAAAGATAGAATAAACAGGGGTTCTAGTTACACATGTTTGAAAAAATAATTGCTTAGCTTTTGTTTTTGTAAACAGCATTAAAATTAGCAAGAAAATTGAAAACTTCTCAGAGCAATTGAAATTGGATTTTTGAATACCTAATGGTTTTTAGTTTCCAAATGTGCATCTTAAACTTTTTGTATTATGTATTATACTTCAAAATATATAAGCTTAGTGAAGATTTAAATTTCTAGTCTAATTTCAATTCCAAAGACAGTTTTCTTTTATATAGCCTTCTTGAAACATTCACAAAAACTACTGATAAAAATGACATCTGGTTCTAATATTAGTAATACTAATAATACATAACAAACCATATCTTTTTTTAACTTTAACTTGAAGTTTAATAAGTAAATAAGCTAACAGTGGCAGAGATAAATTCTAAGATATGCGTTTAAATTTTAAACTTAAAAATCGTTTTTTACAACATGTATACAGTATTAGTATGATAGTGGTAACAATCCGTTACTGTGTTATAAATATAAAAAATATGTTAGTTTGTTTGAATAGTAACGAAGATAGCGTATAGTTGTTACCCTTGTCGTTTTAAATTTTGCATCTTATAGCCTAGCCTGATACTACTATTGGTAGGCTTAATAAGAGGACGTGCTTACCGAAACGTGAGAGATGCGATATGTGTCGGTGCTATTCAGCGCCACCTCGTCAATCGTTTGCTTTTAGATTAAAATCCACAAGACTCGACTAGTCCAAGTGAACAAGCTGATTAGACTCATCGGAGAAGGTAACACAGTCCATAATAACTATGCATGAAACTATATCTATAAAATATTGAACGGATTCAATTGACTGAACACTCTCATATTTTACCGAAAACTACCATAACAAATTGTAATATTACTTTCTTGTCTGTCGCTAAACGACACAGGTGAAAAAGACGCCAATCGAGTATAAGTAGGCGTGGTTTAAATGTATAAAACACATACAATTATTGGACAGAGCTTTAGCGTCATAATACTGTCTTTCGTGATTGGGTAAGCTTGTGGCTCATCCAAAAAATTAAAAAGGGTAGAAAGAACAAGCTGGAAGCTTTTAGTAAATAAAATAGCAGATCAACAAAAATTATATTTCAAAGGTTTCCAAATAAGATGGTGGAATCTGCTTTGGCTTTGGAGCTTGCAAGTCCTGAAGGTGCGTAATAAAATAGAGATTTCATAGAACGCAAAAAAAGAGATATTACAATAAATTGGAAAAAAAATCTTCACCTACAGTTTCTCAAACAAAGATTAACTTTAAAACTGCATTTCAATGGGGCTTTCATGGTAAACAGTTAACATTTGCCTCCACACTTTGATACTACACTGTATAATATTGTTAAATAAAAAAAGACATGGGTTTTGCCCCCCACCCCCACCCCACCATCATGGATCGCTACTAGAACTTGAATGTTTTCCTTGCTTGGAGGTTTAATGGAGAATAGTATCCTGAATTGTTTATAAAAAAAGCACATTTTCACAATATCAATCTCCTTACGTACTTCACAATTGTTTCTGGGCGAGTGCGTACAATGGGAAGCGTGGCGGACTGTGGAACCGAAGTACCATGGTTATTGCCCCCGCCGCCAAAAAAAAAAAATCGATCTGCACTTTGGGTGCATGGGTGCGTTAGTTATATACATGTAGAGTTACAATGAAATCCCACTATTCGATTAGAGCAGTCCAAGAGTTGGAGATGTTGACTAGCTGCCTTCCCTCTAGTCCAATGGTTTCCAAACTGTGTGTCGCGGCAAGTTGCTGGGGATGTCATGAGACTTTCACCAAAAGAAGAAGAATTAATAAAATTAATAACAAATCTAGAACAAAAAATATTGCATGTGGCAGCAGAGGTGTCACGCAAATCAAGGTTAATAGATTATGGTGTCATCAGTGAAAAAAAAAAAGGAAACCACTGCTTTAGTCTATCACTTCAAAATTAGGGACGGCTAGTGCAGAGTAGCTTTGTTCGAAATTCAAAAACAAAGACAGGACACATCTGTTTCTAAACAGTTGTACTTTAATTATCTTTTTGTATCCTAAGGTAATATTGTACTAAACTACGATTTAATATTTTAACTTATATATTTTGTGTTGTTTGCTAGAGGGAGTTTTGACATGGAGTAATGATAATCTGAGAGGGCTAGAAATTTCCTAAGTGTATATAGATTTGATGAAACAATATCGTAATAATATAAAAATACAGGAGAGTTGTTGATTCATGAATTGGTTAAGTAATGAGTCTCTTACAGTGTTGTCGATCGATTATTCAGTTAACTAGTGTGTTAATCAGCCAGTTTTGTGTTTATATCGAGGATACGATAAGAAATTTAAGTATAAGTGACTGCTTAGTTTTAGTCGTGAATCAGGCCTATTGCTTGGTGAACTTGTACAACTTGTGGTAAAAAAATAAATTAATTAGTTAAATTAAACGCTTTTCTTTTCCTTAAGTGTACTGGACTCTGCATTATTTTTTACCAAAAAATCAAAACAGAACACAGAACTATTACAAAGCTAGTGTAAGGAACACGATTATTTTGGTGAAAATAAAATAGAATTCAAACAACACTTCAAAATCAAGATAACTATACTTTGTCGAAATGAGATCGAGAATTTTCCGGAAATGATGAAACAGTGGAAACAAGCAAGAAACAGGAAATTAAAAGAAGATCTTGAAAAGAGAGGCTAGAAATTAACTAAAGACTTATGTTGCGTCAGCGAGGTCACGTGACTGGTGTCACGCCACCTATTTTCTAGAACTATCCTGTTCATTCGGGAGTGCTCTAGCATTTGCTAGATTAGGGGTGGTCTGGTATATATAAGATGGTCACGGCGTGACTTGAAGGTGTGTAGGTAGTGAGTAATTGAACTGCAGTCAGAAAGTATTGTTGAAGTTAACGTTCGTTGTTATAGCGTTTGTTATAGAGCGACTGTTGAAAATAAGTGTATCGGTAAAGTTATATTCGGAAAGAATAAACCAGTTTTATTAAGAAAGGGCTTGTGTCGCTAAAGTTTCGTTGGAACGAAGTTACGGAAAATCAACTAACGAACGGAGACGTAACACTTAGAAAGGGCTATCTGTGCTCTGCCCACCACGGATATCGAAACCCAGATTTAGCGTTGTAAGTCCGTAAACATACCGCTGTGCCACTGGGGGTAAATTAAAAGATCAAGAGGTAAGAGCCAGGAATTTAAGAGAAGAATTATAAAAAAATAATGTAAGACTCAGAGACAAATTAAAAAAAAAAAGATTGAAAACAAGGTCAGAGAAGTTATTGGAGATATACAGAGCGATTATTACAATAAATGTGAATTGAAAAAATTCGTCTGTGAAGTACGGAAGGATTAAAGAAACAAAATTTATGAAGTGCAGGAAATGAGATAGAAAAGAACATCAGTGACAGAATAAAGCAACTGAAAAATGAATAGGCAAATGCAGTACTATATTAACCAAGCGTGGTCATGGAAAAAATGAGCTCTCTTCAACCCCACCATATGCTTTTTCATATTACATCCTTTATCAATGATCAAATTCATGAAATAAAAACTCGCGTAAGTGAAAATCATCACATCCAATAAAAACAATGAAACAAATGTTAAGCAACGAAAAAAAGAAGTGCATTCTACCAAGCCCACGCATTCTCTAGTAGGAGGCTTAATTAAATTTTTCAACAAATGGGTAAAAAAATTATGAGATGAGAATATCATTTAATTTAATCAAATTATGAAACTTAATCACAATATGAAAATATAAAGATCATAATTTCTTAATGTATGCAGATTGATTGCCAAACTCAGTTACAATGTAATTAAAAACGTTTTTTTTTGGGGGGGGGAAGCAAGAAGGTGAACAAAGAACACCGTTCTATTTTTCTGGAACTTCTTAGAACATGGACTTGGGCCCCATAGATCCAATGGATAATTTGGTTATGTCAAATGTAAGGATCATTACAGCCACATCTCTCTCTCTCTGTATCTTCTCAAGAACCTCAACAGGAACAAGAAAATACAATTCATGTGCCAGTCATGACTACAGAACCTTCCTGAAGTACTACATTTTTATCACTACCTGACCCAGTTCTAAAATTAAGCTGGCGAGTTTAGTAATATAGCCCATTTAAGAAACCAACAGATTATGATGAAAAATATTTTAAAAGGCATGTCAGGCTCAATTCCAAATAATTTCTAACGTGAATAAAGTCTTTCAACTTGCAGCCCATTTATAAGTACTAGCTTTAATAACATTAAGCAACCTTCTACTAAGCTGAGAGTCGTAGCGATTATCAAGCATTGGTGGCTGCCTGAATTGAACAAGTTTGAAGTGACACGCCAAAACGAAGTTTCAAAAGCAAAGTTAAGGAACAGAGTAGGGTTATTTTCCAGATGCTCCATATGAATTGGTGGATTCGTTGGCACGTGACCAATTCATAGATTCTACAGTGAATGAGGATATGTGAATTAAGTGTTTCAATTATGACTTAAAATGACATACTGCCATAAACTGCAAACAAAAGTAGATGAGAAATAAAAACTTCTTCTAAATGATGTCAGATAAAGAAAATTGTTATAAGTATGGAAAATATGGGCATTACAGTAGGTGTAGTGAGGAATCAATGGGTGATAATAAACCAAGGATATAATACCATCAGAATGAGTCCTAGTGCCCAACCAAATCAAAGGAGCAACAAAGAGCTAACCAGGCATCATAAACGTGAAGTAGTTGGACTTAATGAGCAAAGTTCAACTAAAAGTACTCCATCTGCCAATAAGAAGCTCATGATTTATGGAAACTAGTCCACAAGATAATAGATTTATTGATGGGAAGCTTTGCAACTTGTTGATTTACACTGGTTCTATGGCTACAATTGTTCGAGCCGATCTTGTAATGAAAGGTAGGAAAATGCCACTTGAAATGAAGAAAGAAGTTGAATTAGTCTGAACAGTAAGTGGACATAAAGTTCCAATAAGAAGAAAGATAAATTGAGAACAAATTTTGTTTTATTAAAAACAAGATCAGAGAAGTTAGTAAGGATGTACAGAGAAATTATAATAAATTTGAAGTGTAAAAATACTTCTGTGAAATACAGAGGGATTGCAGTAACAAAATGTATGAAGTGGAGAAAATTATAACAGCAAAGTCGATGAGGTAGAAATGAACATCAATGAGAGAATAATACAATTCAAAAATTTATTGGGAAGCTTCTCTACACATATGAAATGTGGGTAAATTACACGAAGGAAAAGAGCATATTCGGAATAGATTTCATGCAGAAAATAGATGTGAGGTTAAACTAGCTTTTTAGACTATGGCCGAGAAATTCCCATGCACTATACGACAATTACACTACCAGAGGTTAAAAGATAAGTAGCAACAATAATGAGCATACAGATTAACGAAAATAGCCGACTTGGAGTGCGACAAATAAGAATCCAAAATAATAGGTGGGTAAAACCAAAGGTCATCCCTCATGGTCGTCTTTGGAAGGATGTCGACGAGAAAGTAACTAATTGCTTAACTTTAATGAATTCTTGCCCAGAAGTAAGTCGAGTTGCTGAAAACCCCAATGTTCCAGATGAGACCTCTTCCAGATTATTAACAGGTATATAGTTGCCAATGGATTCTTTCGACCATCTACCTGGACAGAACTCCCTCAGTGGCAAGACAGCAAATGAAGATAAAGGAAAATAGATCATACCATCTCTTTACCATAGGCTGAAAAGAAAACCACCAAAAAATTTTACGAATAGACAGTTTGAAGACTGGGACTAAGATAATGAAGATAACTATGTTTTGTTAATCAGAATTTTATTTGTATAACATATTTAATTAGTGATTATAATGCCTATTTA